CTTATGGTGCTTTTTTTTTTTTAAAAAAAATGTTTTTCCAAGTCTGGAAAGCAAGAACCATGATTTTTTTAAAAAATTATCATTAAGGCTGTTCTTCCATAATTTATGCTAAGAGGTTTTGGCCTGTTTACATATTTTGGAATTTGGCAAAATTAGTAACGTGATAGTCCATTTTTAGTGAACATATCAAGCAATAAATAATGACACATGCTGTTTAGGGAGAGATCTGTTCTTCAGGGGAGGGCTTGGTGGCCCTGAAATGGCCAGGTTCTTCCAGTCCAAATTTCGTAGTGTTCGGCAGTATGTTTTAACTCTGAACTAAACCAGATGCTGATCAGTTCTGTTCTTATTATCGACTTGATGTTGAGATTGTAACCAGACCCTTATTTGCAATGTTAACATTTGGAACAAATTAACAGCAGTTAGGCTGAAATGAGAAACCCCCACTTTACTAAAGAGGTTCAGTACATGTAATGCTGTAAAATCAGAAAGCCTGAAGTGTGTTAACTAGAAATAAATAAGTTAACTGTCTGTCATGCGTTCCTCACAAGGGATATGTTGTTTCCACTTTCAATGCCCATTTTTAAAAGGATTTTTTTAAGCGCTCTTACGAGAGTGAGATCAGCCACTATCATCTGGAGGAGTCTTGACTCTTCAGACAATTTCTGTCTCATATTCCCATCATAGAGGAAAATGGGGAAGAAAGCAACAACATAACCACAGAGTTAGATTTCTGTTAGTTTTAATGTAACCACCAAGAGCAACAACAATATATATCCATAAAACAAGATATTAAAGATTCTGTCTCTTGCTGCGGGCAAACATCTCCTTTTTATTTTTCTATCTGGAAATGTTTGCAGTGAAGGAATAAAAACAGGTTTGTAAAGTTTATTTCCTTGGTTCTGTTGCCTCCCCTTGGCACTTTATATTTTCTGAGAATATTTCACCCTATTTTGCAGCCTTTAAAAATTCAAATTAATTTCAGCAATGGTAAATTTTCTTCCTTTGAAGACAGGAGTGGGCATAGAAATCCAGAGGTGGTATGCTGCCGGTACACACCCGTTCGGGGGAACTGGTAGTGGGGGCAGTGCGAGGCTCTGCCCACCCACCCAGACATTATCAAGGCATGTCGGCATGCGCAGAAGGTTCATGCACTCCTGCTACTA